TTCTTAAATGAAACTTAAGAGTTTGTAGAAGACGCGCTTTCAACACCCGAGTCTCGCAGTCAGAATAAATGGTCACTTTAATCGCTAAAACTGAGTTACTGAGAACAAGTCAAGCCTCGTCTCTGCGTCTCCCTAAGGTCCGTCTCCCCGTACCCAACCCTTCTTGGTAGTCCAATGTCGAACTCAAAATCCGCAACGACACACTTGATGCACGGCACGTTCCACTTAAAAAGCACATTCAGCGGCAGTATCTAGACGCCCTCATACGATCGTCGTCGCTGTTTCAGATAACATTCCAGACGAACAACGAAGAACGAACCGCGCCCGGTACATCAACTGTGGCAACATCCTGCTAATACAAAACAAATGCGAACTTAAAAAAAAGGCCCCCGAGAAAACTCAAAAGAGAGAGAGAGAGAGAGAGAAAGAGAAAAAAATAAAAAAAAAGGGTTTGCTTATACGTCATTTGACCGGCGTGTTGAAAATGGCGGCCTTCGACCTTCTCCCGTCCTTGGGAGCGTCCGCGTGTCCGTGTGTCGTGTGTAGTGGGAGGGGGGAAAGAGATCTCCGTGTACGCGCCCTTCCACCTCCCACCAACCTCCTACCCCGCATTCCTAGCTCACGCGGGAGGTTTGGCAGATGGGGCAGAGAGGGTCCGTCGGGAAAATGGGAAGGGGTCTTTGTTTGAAAGGAACATAGAAGCTAGTCGTCTCATATCCTTGCGGGATCCGGTTTGGATTCGCTGTGCTGCAACACTGCACTTGATCTGTTCTGAAGTCACAAGACAAGGGAACTCGATTAAGGTATGTCAAAGTACTTCCGTTTATGGTATATCGATTAACTGCGGCTTCAGAAAGTGTTTTATTTTGAGCGCGTTCTCTAGCTTCCAAAGCGCGCGCCATGCTCTATTCTTTTTGGCACCATGGTTGCTTATTTTGTTATGCAGCACAGAGACCTGATATTCAATCGTATCGAGCAAAACGCCAGTTCTACCGATGGCTTATTTTTATTTTTTGTCTTCGGAATTTGGCCTTATCGTGGAGTCTACCGCTCAGGAACTTCAACTTCAGTCATCCTTGAATGCGATGTGTATCTACGAGGCAATAAAGCTGCGTTTTACCTGAACTGCACAATTTTGTTTCGGAGATTTGTGGCTCGGAATCAAATGTAAAGGATAAACCTTTAGTCCCAGGGGTCTAAATCCAAGGGCGCAACGTTTAGACCCAGGGGTCCAAGTGCAAGGGCCTAACAGTTGGTCCTCGGGATTCATTTGAAACGGTGTAAAAGTTAGTCCCAGGGGTCGATGTGCAAGGGCCTAACAGTTCGTCCTCGGGGTTCAATTGAAACGGTGTAAAACGGTGTAACAGTTGGTCCCAGGGGACCAAGTGCAACGGCCTAACAGTTGGTCCTCGAGGTGCAATTGAAACAATGTAACAGTTAATCCCAACGGTGCTAGTGCGAGAGACTAATGGAGGGGCGGAACCGTTACTCCCCTTCCCGTTAGTCCCCGAGGGGACTAATGGTTGTGGCAACGCACTTGCTCCCCTCGGGGACTAACCGCCGAATTCAGAAACCTCACTCAAACTACACTCAAACTGAAGGGCCCCTCCACTTCCTCCAGGAAGGCGCGAGGGCCGGCGCTGGCCAATCGCGAGGACGGATCCGCCGTCCCGATTGGCCAGCGCCGGCCCTCGCGCCTTCCTCGAGGAAGTGGAGGGGCCCTTCAGTTTGAGTGTAGTTTGAGTGAGGTTTCTGAATTCGGCGGTAAGTCGCGCTCCCCTTTTTCTTAGAGAGTGGGGATATATTATTACTACAACAATGAACAAAATAAATTTTGTGAAACTTATCATACCAAGGCAACCCAATATGATCTGCGGAATGACACTTACATAAAACCCAAAATACGGACAAACTATGGCTCTAGCCATAGTTTTTCCGCATTTTGTAGGCATTAGCCTACAAAATGCCAGAAATCTTAAATGGGCACCCCTGTGTGGTAGAAATATTAAAATCTCCTACTTTATTACCTAGATTTAAAAAGACCATCAAACACTACCTTTTGGGGGCCTCTGAATAGTTCTGTGTATGTGTATGAATGCATGTATGTATGAATAGTATGTATTTTGTACTCTGTATTTGCATTTGTAGTTTTGTGAGAAGCGTCTAGCCCTAGGCCATCCGTTATATTTCTGTGTATTCAAGTTGAAACTTAATAGTAAAACATGTCTCCCTGTTTAATGTGCATATGTTAATCACATGTTTCTATGCTTGCAACCGGTTGGTCTGTTTGTGTTATTTCCATTTCCTTTTTTTCTGCTGTGCGAAGTATAAGGGTGGGGACCTTGGGGGGTCAGGTAAAGTCTGTTTACCTTTTGCCCACTCGCCCGTGACTCAAGAAGGTTATTATGTGTGTTAGTTATTGTGCATGTCATCATATGACATGCACAATAACCAAAACCAGAGTCTTAAGACATACAGAAAGATATGTTGTCCCGAAAGTATACACCCACTACGGAAAAAGAACAAGAAATCATTATATTCCAACATTATTTAATAGACTTCCTCAATTTTTAATAGCTATGACATCCTTAAAAAAAATAAAATTAAAACTTAAAACCTGGTGTCATTCTTTAATGAATTAATTGTAACATGTCTAACTGCATAACTTCTAAGTGCCTTTTTTCTGTTGTGCAATTTGATTCCGATTTCCTCATGTCGATGCGTTCCGTCGTTTGCCTGGCCCCACACACAAGCACACCCCTGCTTTTGTGGGCCAGATCACTGTTTTTGTATATATTTCCTGTGAATAAATATTACTATTACTATTACTATATTCTCAAAAAATATTTTACACAGGTTGACATGGTAATGTGACAGGTTCTAGCAGCACGACATGAATATTTGTCAAACATTTTCACCATATTTCGATTTCTAGTTGTGGTGTCAGATATAAACTCGAGTCTAACTGATTTTCTTACTCTACACTTCTATCAAGAAATATTTGTAAAAAATGCTAGTATTGAGCATTTCTCCCTGGTTTCCAATTTTTGAGCATGGAGTGATTTGTAATAAAATTAAATATGAACTCATATATAAAATTGTGTTTGCAAACATAAAAATTTTGTGCAAAAGAGGCACTTCATTATCAGCTGTTTCTATGAATTACCACTGGCATTATAAAAAAACTATATATATATATATATATATATATATATATATATATATATATATATATATATATCAGGGTGTCGAACCGAACCGAAAACCGGAACCGAACCGGTATTTTTTTTCCGGAACTGAACCCGAACCCGAACCGTTATATTGCTATCGCGATGAACCCGAACCGGAACTGAACCGGAAAAAAAAATAACGGTTACCGGCTCATGTCAAAACGGTTCGGCCACGCGCTGTTTACAATGAATGTGCTATCAATGCCATTTGTTTTTCAAGTGCCGTCAACTGACACACACCTCGCTTACATATTTTTCTTCTCCACTCAGTCTTAGGAATATAAACGCTGCATTTATGAATCTTGACAAACGCTGCATTCATGAATCTTGACATAGGAACCAGTATTGCGCTGGTCGCGGCTTGCACGGAAGAAAGAGAATTGGAAGGCTGTGCAAAAAAAATCGCGTCACGATATTTCATTTTCCTACAATCTCGTAAATCCTAAATGCTGCTGTGTGCTCATTTCATAACACGTTTCTAGAACGCGCGAGTTCTTGAAGCTTGCTTCCATCGGAATGAGAAAAGAAAATGCTGTGGAGTTTGGTAATAATGCATCCGGTTTCGTATAGGCACTTAGAAGCTAACATATTTGTGAGACAGCGAACTCTTCTATTTTAATATTTATCCTATTACGTCCTTCTGGCGTTGCGTTCGGTGAAGTGTTTTTCATATTCCGTATCTTGTTTAATGAAAACTTCTTTAAGGGTCTAATTTGAGTTACCGGAGGCTAGTTCAAATAAAGAAAGCTATATTTTCTTCCCACTGTTCCTTCAATTGCTTACACGCCGAGGTGGGGGGATAGTTAGCGAGTTCTACTTGTAAGTGGGTTTGTAAGGATGTCGCGGATTTTACAGCTACTGCGTCGGACCCAATTAGATGCAATCCGAATGCGTAAACGTCGGTGAGGTAACCTTTGAGTGCACATAAAGAAACCATTCCTGGTAGAAATCCCTGAGACTTACACTACGATGTATCCCGTTTCGTATGTGCTGATTTCAGATGTTTTATTTGTAATTTATTTTGATGTTGAAATTTGTCATTTATAATTTCCGAACCGGTTCGCGAACCGGTTCAGCGCCCCGAACCGGTTCGCGAACCGGTTCATGGATCGAATTGATCGAACCGGAACTGAACCGGAACAAAATAAATTTATCTGAACCTGAACCGTAACCGAACCCGTATTTTTTTCGGTTCGACACACTGATATATATATATATATATATATATATATATATATATATATATATATATATATATATATATATATATATATATATATATATATATATATAAGCTTTCCAAAACCGTTTCATAGTATATATTTAGCACCTTTCTCCACACCCTTCTTGCACCCTTCACTAAATGGAGGGTGTAACACGAAACCCTTTCGGTAAAATTATGAGGGTGTACTACTAGATTTTAGGGTCTCAAAAAGGGTGTAGCCGAGGGTGTAAGTTACAACAACACCCCTTTTACACCCTTACATGTGTAAAAACTTTTAATCTGTAAGGTACAATCCTATACCGGCCGCAACACTATTTTGGGATAGTGAAGAGTGTTGTTCGCGTTCGAAATCGACATTTTGCGAGCCATGATCGCGCGCAATTCCGCCGTGCCCGCCGAATAAGAGAATCGGGGGACCCTTACTAGGGCGCTTCCCATTTCCGCCGCGGGAGGGCGAGCAACGAGCTGGAGACGCGAATAGTGAAGGACAGCTCCAGAGCTGTGTTTGAATTGAGTCTCGTCATTATGAATTGCGCTTCGTCCAGATCCGTGGCTTTCGCTTCTGGTGTCCGGGCCGCTGCTCCTCCTCGTACCACTGTGGACGTACGTGGCGTACAAGAACCAAAACACCCGAGACGTGCTTTCCTCCGGATGGGTGCCCATAATCTGCGCCATGCTTATATCAAGGTAGGCTACTGACTTTTGTTGAGTGATTTGAAGATGCACGATAAGCCATCCATTAGGTTGCAGTTCATTTGTCCATTATTAAAGAAAAAGAACAACTGTGACAGCTCAAATTGTCATGGATGTTTGGTTCTAATGGAACGCGGGTTTCGCTTAGTCATTTTTGACTTCACGAGAAAATTCATTCACATGCTATCTGCCGTTTAAAAAACCTTCAGTTAGCTTTTCTGTCGGAAAATGTTCTTTCATATCTTTCGTTAAATTTTAAGTTTCTTGGAAATAAATAAGCATAGCTATCGAGGTGTGTGACTCTTGGAGTTATACTTGAACCGCGTGAGAGAGGCGAGGAGGACACGTATCGGTGTCGGTCAGCGTTCTTTATGGTGGTACCATTTACCAATTAGAGTTTGGGCGGTGCGGTCATAGTATAGGCTATGAAAATATATCTTTTTTTATGTAATTGTATCACCAATGTGTTTGCTTGTTTTTTCCCCCGAGGATAACGTTTGTTATTGTGTCGCACTTGCAATTATGAAAGACAAACTGTGGTAACAAATGCACACGATAAACACCACGCTGTACCAGCCACGACATCCCATAGCTCCGCGGGCCAACCAGAGAGTACAGTAACAACGACGAGTTTTATCACATCAGACGCCCTGGCAGCGGAACATTTACGCATCGCGGGGAAATAGTGGCGTGCGGTAATGAGCTTGTGAAAGGAGCTTCTTCTAACGCAATCTTAGGTTATATTTGATTATAGACTAATCCAGGTTCCCTCTCTCCGCTTTCTTCATAAAACCGCATCCATGTGCGAAGGCAAGAATGGTGTTCTTGTCGGTGGTAGTTGGTTTGCGCAAAAGTTCACGAGATATTTTAGCCTAGGCAATGTTCACTCATGGCGACTTGCACATTTTAGAGTTTATTTTCTCGTCCCTTTTACTTACCGTATTTACTCGCATATTGGTCGATACGTCGTATAGGTCGACCCCCTAACTTCGGGACCCCCGAAAAAAAAAAAAAAAAAAGTTGAAAAATATAATACCGGGATTCGCGTATTGGTCGACCCCCCAGTTTTGATGAGGCGATTTTTGAAAAACAGGTCGACCTATACGCGAGTAAATACGGTATTTTTTCTTTCAAGAAAGCGAATTTAAGTTATGTTCATTATATAGCTCAAAGAACAGGCAACGGAGACGGAGACGGGACTAGCGCTATATGCGTTCGTTATGCTACACCGTGTTTCATGTTTCTGTCGTATTGCATGAAGCACAATGATTTTTTTTTTTTTTTTTCGCAGCTTGAGCGGGAACATTTTGGATGTCGCCATCAAAAAGTTCACAAGCATGGCAGCTTTCCAGCCGCTCATGAACGGTACAAACGCATTCTCCTTCCCGTCCTTGTCTATAACTCACATTTGTTCATGTTGATACCACGCTACCGCTACAGCATTGAACATGCGGTTTCTTGCCCTTTCCGTTTCTTGTGTCGCAATTTGTCTCATTCTATGCCCCTCCTCTCAGAAAGTATTCCATTTTATTTTTAGTAGCAAAGGGTACAAGTCCTTGCTCGCACTTCCTGGGCAACAAGGCCGTGGTGCTGAATTTCCGACGTCCCCGACAGGAGGCCAACGCAACCCGAGTACCAGCCGAACGTACCAGCGTTCGGCTGGCACTCGGGTCCAATCAGTGAGAACCCGAGTCCCAACCGAATGTTGACGCAGTACTCGTGGCAAATATGCGCCCCGCGCGGCGACCCCCGATATAGGTGATGTAGCAGTTTTACTGCGGCGGTCAGGCTATATAGACAGTGGGTGTTGAGAGCCTAAAAGCACGCAAAGCCTTGCCGTAATTTTCTCATCTTTTTTTTCCACTTTTTTTTTTTTTTTTGCTTGTTGGGATCGGCAGAACACGCGATGCGAAAGCGTGGATAAAGAATATCATGCGCGTTTTCACACAGCCAGTGTTGTGCCTGCTGAATGATAGCTTTAGCGCACCTCCCAAACGCTTCATATTGTTTTTATTTGCTCGGTTTGGTAGGCTTGTGCTACTGCTACCTTACGCGCAGTGGGACTGCTTTTGACTCGGATAGATTGAAAGTAGTTCGAGTTTCGTTTGTTGATCAGAACAATTAAGTTCGCCCCCCCCCCCCCTTCCCCTCAACCCCCCCCCCCCCCCCCCCCCCGCGGCTCTTTGAATGTTCGTGGTTTTGTTTTGCGGCTCTTAGGCCGCGTCAGCCTGGCCACCCCTGCGATATACCATACGTTAGAGAGGCGACATATTTTTTTCCCCAAGCTTACATGATTCCCACCGCAATATACTGCCAGAAACTTAAGGATAGAAGGAGATGAGAGCGCGTGGAGACGTCAGATTGCCGAGCCCTGAGTGTAATGATTAGTGGGTCGACGCCGAAGCTAGCTGCCTTTGTCTCCACTGACCTCAACAAACGACACCACAGGAGCCAAGCAGTCACCCGGATGTCGCGATCCTGGCGGTTGTTTGCCGACGTTCCGGCAAAAAGTGAGAGCGAACACGAGTGTTGCTGTCGTCGCAGCCTCCCAACTCTTGGCCTCCGAAGCACCCGCAGACTGTCAAGCTTGAGAGCGAGCTGCAGCTGAACAGGCGTCCGCCGCACGTACGCCTTCGTCGCTGTTCCACCGCCAAGGTCGAGAGACTGTTCTGACGTTGTTAGGTGGAAATCGAGAGGCCATGCAATCTTGAGGGCGCGGCCAGTCGGCGATGTGTTACGAGGCACCGTAGTAGAAAGCCTCGAAGATTCGATTGTCTCGCTTCGGGAGGTTCTCATTTGAACCCGTTCGCATTTCTACCTTCTCGTTTTTACCTTCTCATTTCAACCCAGCGCAAAACAACTTCCGCGTTTCTCCCTTTCTCATTTAAACCGTTCTCAAAACAAACTTTCGGGTTTTGACCCTTCTCAAAACGACTTTTCTCATTTTTACCTTTCTCATTTCAAATTTTCTCAAAACATATATCTTTCTGGTTTTGACCATTGTCAGAAAGACTTTTCTCATTTTAACCTCTCTCATTTCGAACCCAAATTAATCCAACATCATGATCTCGCAATCTTTCTGCGGTATTTATGGCGAATTCGGGTAATCAATTGCCTTCGAGCCCTTGCCTGTGGCACCGGCGACCAAAAACGCGCCAGCGGCGCATCCCGTGACCCTCTCCACCCGAATGCAAAGCACAATCAACTGGCGTTTTTATTTGACTGGGTCGCGAGTGAGCTCTGTTAACTTCTTCTTCGATCATTCTATGGTACCATGAGCACGCTGCATACGCCAACAACATAAATTACGACTCTTTGAGATGTGTGTAAACAAAAGCGGCTTCACAAAACTTTTCAAAATATTGGCATTACCACAGTCCGTACAGCTGACAGAATATTAAAATATAAAATCATTGACAGGGCAGATGTATAAATCAGTGTGGTACAGCCCGCACGCGCGTCAAATTTCAATAAACTTCGTTTGGATTTTCGATTAACTGTTGCCACGGAGGCTTGCCAGCGACGCTTTCCATATTCTGTTTACTGTTAGTACTTTTTTTGGTATCCGCAGTCTTCTCATTGCACCCACCCTCCTTGAAATTGTAATGCGTGTTCAAGTTTCAAACTGCATCATTATGCATACTTTTTTTTCAGCTGTGTAATAACTTGTTATTACAGAGTTGTAAAATAAAGTGATGTATGATGCAGCCCGTGTCTCAGAGCAAACATACCTTGCTCAGGCTGGATAAATTCTTCCAAAAATGTTGACTTTCTTTGAAACATAAATTATCTTTCTCTTCGTTGTTTTTGCTATCTTGTCTCAGAGCACAAAAGGGTGCCTGTCTCGATGGCTTCGTTTGCCACTCGAACCCGCTATTTGCCGCCTCAGCGAGCATTGTTTCGTTTGATTCCCTATCCCGATTCGGATGTGACGATACCGGATGCAGTCTGGCAGACAAGCTGCCCGACCTCTTGGAGCTCGGGAAGACTTCTGCTGGTAAATTGCCGGTACACGCCTGAGAAGCGCAACCCGAAAAGCTTGCACCCGCCAGCCTTTGACCACGCGAACGCCCTTGTCGAAGATATGGGAAAACTTCTTTTCAGTGAAAATGACCACCCGAATTGGCCATTACAAGCAATAACACACGACTAGCACAATGATCCATCCGCTCCACACGACGACATCTTAACGACATACAGCGACAAAAGAGAAATGAAGTACCGAATCTGCGCTGGAACTTTTGAAACCACGTCACCATGTGACCACATAGCTACGTCAACAGACTCGGGGTGGCACGCAGGCATAAGGAAAATTGTTTCATGTGCTATGCAAGAGATGGTGCCGCTTCGCTTCATCTTCAACCTTCATTCTTCGACTGTTTTTTCTTCTTTCTATACCTCACTACGGTGTTCAAATGACAACGGGTTCAAATGAGAAAGGGTCGAAACGCGAAAGGTTAAAACGCCAAGGGCGTTTTGCGAATGGGTTCAGACGAGAAGGGTTCAAATGAGAATGGGTTCAAATGAGACGGGTATAAATAAAAAAGGATCGAAACGCGAAAGGTTAAAACGAGAAGGGCGTTTTGCGAATGGGTTCAAACGAGAAGGGCGTTTTGCGAATGGGTTCAAACGAGAAGGGTTCAAATAAGAATGGGTTGTTTCGAGATACACCCCTCGCTTCAGGTGTGGGCGGCAACCTGGCAGCCGTGCATGCCAGCCGTATGTCAACGTTGCTGCACCGGCAGAAGTCGGTCCAGGTGGAGGCGCCGAGCGGAGGCTCCTCCGTCAGTCCTGCTGAAGGTACGGGTGAGTTGAGGAATTCTCACCGTCGTTATGAACAACGATGCACTTCTTTTTTACAGCCGCGCATATAACAAAGAAAAAGGGGCGGACATCTCTTTAAGGGTAGTTTCTAGCTATTCTTCGACACCTAAAGCCGCTGTAAACACAAAAGTAACGAGATTCCCCATGCCCCATCCTCTCTCTCCCTGGCGTCACGACACCATTTTTGAGCGAACGCGCCGACGAAGAGGAGCACTTTAAACGCGACGAATCGCGACATTTTTATGTATACGGGGGTGGTATCTTCACCTCCTTCGGCAGGGGTAGGTGTGGATACTACCACCATAGAAAGCGGTGTTATAGTTTTCTCTTTCTTTTAGAATACACTTTTTTTTTCGGGGGGGGGGGGGGGGGGGGGGCGGGGGGGGCGAGCAAGAAAGAGTAAAAGCACGGCGTCTTATAGACGCTTTGCAGCAGCTGTGCATGGACGCCGCCATAACTAACCTTCAGTTTCTGTTTCCTCTTATTCTGTTTATTTCACCTCATCTTTACCATAGCAGGCCAGGTTATTGCCGTATTAGATCCAACTGTGTCCTTTTCTAAAGCATCGGCCTTTGTAGAGGATCGTCGACTACCGTTTCAGTTGCTCGGCATCTCGGTAAGACAAGAGAAGGTCAGCAATGGCGGCTGTAATTTGGCGCGTGTGCAAAGCGTCTATATGTTCACACGCCCCTGTGGCGCGAGTACAATTTACCGCATTAAATATTTTTTTGTAACTGACCTCTGCGTGGGTAACTTTCTTTTTTCAACCAAAGTCTTTGCACCTCCTTTACGACTTTTAGGATGAAACAGCAGCATTACCAGTTTCGTACAATGTACAACGGAAACGTGTACACTCGCAAGGAGAGCCAAGACAGAAGCTGCACACGTTGTTGACGTTGTTTGATAGGCAACCCATCTCTGCTTCTGGGACTTAACGGAATGTCCGTTTCACATTAAGTTAGAGCGCAGCTTTCAATACGACCTAATAAAGCCAACCAATGACAATAATGACCATAAATCAGTCAAGCAGCTCCATACTCAACCGGTCAAACCAATCCCGCAAAGTAAATACGTCGTAATCCTGTTTTTTTTTTTTTTTGTGCGTGATTGGTTTATTTGGTGGAAACAATCATACATAGATAACCAGCGCCTTTGATATGCACTTTTGGTACTGCGTAATTCACTCGATCAGAATGTAGCGACGGTTACGCTCTGACTTAGCGTGAAACGGTTTGGCTCCAGGGTGGTGAACAGAAGGCGCCTCGGTCGGCTGCTAGTCAGCGCGGCTGGTGGCCGAGAGGGGCAACTTTGGGAAGGCTTAACCGCCGAAAGATTGGACGCGAGCTATGTGTCAGAGTTCGGCAGGGCACTCGGACATTCGATCTCGAGATCGGGTTCAACGATTGCGGCTGGGGGCCGTCTCAGAGTTTCAAAAATCCCGCATAGGATGGCGCCACCTGTCGAACCAAACTTAATTGCCCCGGGGGGGGGGGGGGGGGGGGGGGGGGTTAAAGTGTGTACCGCGTTTTACTTGGCACAGCATAGACGTCCACGTTATCTGATCTTTCGCAAGAAACAAGAGTCCCCAGACGCCTTGTGTACAGTGAACCTTTTTCTGGGCATCGTTCTACGCGTGCACGAACTCAATGAAGGCAGCTGGGAGGCAGCTCTAGCGGACATCTTTGCTAATTGTATAAGAACCATCCCGATTTTAGTGCCCTTAGCGGGGCGTTACGAGAGACTTCGTACCTCGCGAGCGGCATGATGCATTTCTATGGATGGGTGATCGAGTGGCAAGCGACCGAGACCTCCGCTTCTTCCGCACCTCATGCGATGAGTGTCGCTGAATTGGTTATTTATGGGAAAAGAGACATTTTTTTAAGGCCAAGTGACCAGTCACGTAAGGAAAAAAGCAGGGCGAACCCGTCGAGCCCGCGAGAGAGCGCCCGCGTGCACACCTCTTTTCAGAAATGTCACCTATGAAAGACAGTCCCTAAGCTACTTCAAACTTCTTTGTCCCCAAAGCTGGTCACGAGACTGCCTCCATATGGCAGTTGAAAGTTGAAACTCATCTGCTATGTACCGGTTTATATTAAAAATGTTAATTAATTTAAAATATTCCATGTCATTTCAAGGCCTCAGCCAGGTACATTATTCTCATCATGCACCGATTCGCCCAAATGCACACCCTTGTGCAGGCACATACCAGGCCACCACAGTAACTTTGCATTCGTGTTTGTACGCTTTAATTTCAATATGCAACCCATTAACTATCCTTTACGCTTGTTTTTTCAGTCGGGGAAACTAGTAGTCGCAGTGGATATGTGCTGGTTGCGCTGGTAGTGCCCGGTCACCTGGTATTCATGAACCTCGTATCGCTCGCCAAGAATGGCACCCCGATCACCAACGTGGTCTTCATCACGCTCTTCTGCGTGGCCGCTCTCCTTCAGGTAAAGATTCATTGTGTCGCAAAAAGACTCCAGTAGTATCTTCACTCTGTCAACCTTTGTTCGAGTATATTGTGCTCGACTTTCCGAAGTCGCAATTGAAGGTCAAGCTTCTCATTTCGAAACAGTCATCGTCTAACTAACATTCGACAAAAACCATGTGAAACTTATTTGTTGCAGTGTTGCGCCTCTGTTGAAAAGAGTGAAAGAGAGAAGTAAAAAAGAATATCCGTATACGAAACACTTCATTGGGAAATACATCTTACTCCGCGAAAATCTATATAGCCTTGGCGCCGACAGCTTTTGTCTAGTTGGAACGGATGGACACGCCCAGCCTCGGAGTTTTTCCTTTTGAATAGGCCTCAGGTAGCACGCCAGAGAGACGCCTAGAGGCCCGTTAACACACTCGCGTTTGATTTCGCCGACATTGAGACGCGTTTAAGCGTCTTATCCCGACTTACGACCAGCTGAGCTGCTGCGGCGCCGGTAGTGAGCCGTAATGAAAGGTTTAAAAACTCGTTTTTAGCCTCTCCGGAAGGAGTGCAGTGTGTGAACAGGCCTTTACGTTTGCTGACGACCAAGTTCTTGTAGTTTCTTACGAAGAGAAAAGAAACTGGCATGCCGGCGTTATCTATGAGGTGACCCCCGAACTGCACTTCGCTAGAGGGAAGGGTTTGCTGTATTTGCGAGATCAAATGTAGACGTATTATCTATGAGAAATGGTCGTTTATAACATTGTCAAAAAAAACAACTTTTACAAGCCAAGAAAAAAGAAAGAAGGCGCGAAAAAAATTAAGAAATATACGAAAATCCAATCTGTTTCACGAATACCCGCTAGATGGCGCCATTGTATTCTCTCTTCGTAAGAATTCTTAAGATCTTCTAAGGTCCACAGCCGTAAGCAGAGTCGCAAGTTAGTGAACCAGCCCTAACTCCTGCGCAAGCTTGGCAATCTTCGGGGATTAACTGGCCTAATACGCTTTTGCTCCAAGGCGTTAGTTAGTGCCAGGGTTTTCTTTGCCGCTTCTCTGGTTTTCCCTCTGGCTCACCACATAATTGCCAAAGTGCCTGACTTGAGCCATAGATGCCACAAATGAGCCTAAGAACCAGCCGTGAAGCCTAAATCCGGCACTTATTTGGCAGTTTAGGACCATATTTGCCGCATGAAAACCGAACACCCAAAAGTGAACAATAACCATGTCACTTGTTTAGTAATTTAGTCCCAAAGATGCCAGATGACAGCCAAACTACCCCCCGGGGGAGCATAACGTTGGCAGTTGTTTGGCGAATTAGGTTCAAGATACCAGACTCTAGCAAAAGAAGGTCAAGTTTGGTTTATATTGGCTTATTCGGGATTCTCAAAACACTGCATTCCAAGAAAAAGAAGAAAAAACTGCTGGCCCTAAGAACTGTGTTTGTAGGGCCTTTACGTTTGCTTATGAACATGTATCGTCGTGGAAGCCCTTCGAGACAGCGGAAAAATCCGTCTTTGCTGCCTTGGAGAATCCGGTATCTTGATGCGCCGATGGCAGCCCTCTTCCTTGTCGCACGTGTGAAGACGTTGACAGCGCGATGTCCATTCTTTCTTCGTACTCGGTATTTCCACGCCGCTAGGGCCTGGGCGAGGATTTGGTTCTGTCGGCGCACAGTCTATTGTGCAAACGAAAGGAGTAGGACGTATTCCACTATTAAATATTTTGTGTAAATATTTTTGTGCAAATATTTTGTGAATTTTGTAAAGAATTGTACTGCTTACCTGCCAATATTTAAGGTGTGTGGATTTGTCAAGCTGCGCTTCCGCTGCTTTTTTTCTTCAGTTCCTTCATCTGTACGAATACAGGGTGAAAGTGAAACTGATTTGGTTTGAAAGTATTTACGATATGCCTAAACAAAGAAACGGAGCAGAGAGCGGTAGAGCTTCCGAGCAATATCAATCACTTGCATTTTCCTCAAGGAAGCCATAGCGGTACATGCGGCGCATTAATGGATTACTCTTATTGAATAAACAACGGACACGAACGCACACCTCAATGGCAGGAGAATGGTAAGATAGGCGGCAACACGCCTCCGAGGGTTCGGTGCTTAAGATAACAAGCTCTAAAAATGTAACAAATAACACAATATAGTATCGAAAAATAATAAATACTTCATCACTCTTTTTCAGCGCCTAAACTCGAGCTGCCTCAGCTCTAATTTAGCCCTCTGACCCCCTCCCCCCCCCCCCCCCCCCCCCCCATGTCAATTTTGTTAAAATTCACTTAGCGCGGGATATTGCCAGCCATTCTGGACGGTACAGTAAATGAATTCTGAACACTCAAGCAGACAGGGTGGAGCTTCTTCAAAACAAATGCCTTGTAGAGAACCAGCCTCAACAAACATGTAATCGTTGGGCGCTGATGATGAGGACAGGGTCTTTCGTAAAATGGCATGGCGCTCCGGGCTAATAGTTTCTCTGAGATGCATGTCAAGTTCACAAGATTTAGAGCGTGGCGCCGGATTGACACCATAGTTATTTGTATATAATATTTGTAACCACTATAGGAACCGGTGGAACTCATTTTGGTTTTCTGCATTTTAGTATAGACTACATTATCATTATAGCAGAGGATATGTAGGCACAACTGATATCAAGGACGTTTAATTACTGCAGGATCCGGCATGACGTGATGCTCAGCGACGCCAAAGAAATAACTCGAGTCCAGACTGCCCTGCGCACCCATGGACGCTGCTCTTACCATCGCTCTCGGTCGGCTCGGTCGGCTACGTTAGGCTTAACTACATCTACTTCGTGTCTGCGGTCTGCTTCGTCTGCCCGCTGTCGTGGCTGTTACGGCTGCCATCATCGATGTGTCGCGAGAGACTTCGTATTTAGCGAGCGGCATGACACGCCATTGGCGCACCCAAAGAAGTTTGGTCACAGCATGACGGTAGACATCGAAGCTTTGGAAGCGTTCGCACGTGCACGTAGGGCTTTGAATCTAACTTGTTCGACACCGATTCAGCCGCCGCCTCGATGTAAATATGGAAAAAACAACCTCTTTGCCACGACAATGCCGTGGCAACGGGGTTGCTTGCCCTATATTTACATGGCGGCGCGGCGCCCATTAACTGAGTTTCCTACTGGCCGAGAGACCAAGGGCACATTTCGTGGCCAAGCCTACTTCCATTACACTTCGCTCCATATATAAAGAATACCGACGCCAACTTCTGTCCATTCTAACCAGCTGGCCTAATGTGGCTTTTTCAGGTGATCGCGCTGCTCCCTACAACTAACGTCATCGTGCGCGCCCTCTGGCGGCACAAGGTGGACCCCGACTCCTCCGCCATTCCCTACGTCACTGCCCTTGGAGACCTGCTGGGCACCGGTCTGCTCACCCTCGTTTTTTGGGCCATGTCCCAGCTCGGCACCGAGATTTGAAGACCCATGCTCAACACCTTCGAGATTCTTGTTTGCAATAGACGTTGCTCAAAAGTCAGCGCCAGCTAGTGGCAGAATAAAAAGCTCCAATATGTTCGTTCTGATGGCGCTAATGTGAGAACAAGCTTGGTCACCTAAATCAAGCACCCTCGACATCGTGAATCGGAGGCGATGTACAAGGACCAAGTTAGACAGTATTTCCTGCTTTTGGCGTTAAGCTTTCGAGCTCGCTGTTCCTAGTGTGAAGGAGCTGCGTAATATCGCCATTAGAGGAGTTCGGTTTTGGCTTGAGACAGGGTGTATTAACTTACTTTTGAAAATGGTCTACTCTTCCACCTTGCACTTGGTTGCGGAGGGTCCTAAAATCGCAACCTACGCCTTCTCTCAGGCCTTTGCACTTCTTCAGGCCTCCGTCGAGCTCGGCGCTCTTGGTCTGCCTCAGCACAGAGCCCGCTTACGTGCGACAATCTATTTTAAACTGAATTATTACATAATTATACACCAGTTTAAGTTTTTCCACTAAATTTAACGGTGAAGCGCTACCCGGTAAATTTAGCGGGGAAATTGAATTTAGGTTTCTTTGCAAAATTCACACAATCTTATGATTGGGTGACCCAAAAAATGTTGTCGCATTAAAAAAAAGAACACAAAAAGTGTCCTACACATGCGTAACGTATTCACGTGACCTATTGACCTATCTGTTCCACCGCCTCTACCAATCGTTCAGCGGTAATAATCTAAAGATCAGCTCATTCCACTTGAACTGCCTAAAACCTCGCACTATTCATTACGAAAAAAAAATATTCATGCCAAAATCCAGCTTTTTTTTTTTTTTTTTTTTTTTTTTTTTTTTTTCAAGACGGATCGTTGTAGAGTTTTTAGTTTTCTTTAATATTCGAAAAGTAAACATGGATTACTTTCCACGTGCATAAGTTATATCTCTGGGTGGTTATGTATTTTGTGGAATTCGTTTATTTAGCTATCTATAGGAGGTATTCACTGGACGCCATATTTAAGGGCGATGTTTAGAGCGCATGCTCAGAACGAGCTCACATTAATAGCCTGCTAAGACCTGCAACCTTGATGGTGCTAAATGCACGCTCCAAAAGGACTGCGGAAGCTCGCCGTCAGCACGCGCTCAGCAGCAGCGCACACGGATATGACCGCCAGTGAATACTCCCTATAGTATTGTGTTTCACTTGAATAGATACAATAAAGGTTACAATTTCGACAACTAAAGAAATCGTTTACCTGCGGAATTGCGTTTTGCTGCAAATAGTGAGAGCGTGCAAACGAACTATGTTAGCGATGTAAACAGTGGGTCCATGGCGGAGTCCATGCATACACTGTACTGTTTACATCGCTAACAAAGTTCGTTTTAGACTACGTATTTATAATCAGCTGAACGGCTTAGTATTGACTGTAGTGCTTCTCGTCTTTCTTGTAGTGGTAACTGAAAAGTATGAATACATTAAGCAGACTCAACTACAATGCTAACATATTTCCTAAGACATCGTACCCCAAAGACCTACTTTTTTTTTTTTTAAATCTAGTCGCATTCAATTAAAACTAAAACGTGATCCTCACATAAGAAAACGATAAAAGCGATAATTATTTACAAAATTTATAAAAATAGGCCTAACAATTTTTATCCTTTTCGTTATTTTGGAAATGGTCTCAAACTTTGCATTTACAAACCGTAGTAGGTATTGTCAAGCTTAAGCTTACTGCGATGCCTTCTGCTCAGTACGCCGTTGGAACTACAGGGTGATTTAAGGAGAGGCCAGGCTCTTTAAATCGACCGCAAAATTCGGTTTCTTAACCTATCGCGCTACGACTTTCTGCAGCGTTGCCCACAAATGGTGCTTTTTTTTTTTTTAGGGGGGGGGGGGGGGGGGGGGGGGATTTGCAAAAAGCGAACTTACATGAGCAAAAAGTAAGGAAAGAAAAAGGCTTAGCTCCTATGGACACGCGGCGAGGCTACCGGTCTTCAAACAACACGGCGCCGTTTCGCACGGAAGACAAGAGATGGCGCAACGAACGCCGCCAACGAACGACCATACGGCGCCGAGAGCCGGCGTCTTTAGCAGACGATCTCTTTGACTCAAAAGCGGCGCAACGTTCCGCAGGCGGCGACAGTCGCAGAAACAAAAACAGGCGCGGTAACAACAAGGAACTGCAGTTCCTTGTCTGCTAAAGACGCCGGCTCTCGGCGTCGCATGCTCGTTCGTTGGCGGCAGTTGGCGTCGCGACCGCTTGCGCCATCTCTTGTCTCCCGTCCGAAACGGCGCCTTGTTGTTTGAAGACCGGTGGCTTCGCTGCGTTTCCATAGGAGCTAAGCCTTTTTCTTTCTTTACTGGTTCCTCAGGTAAGTTCGCTCTTTGCAAATTTTACAAAAAAATGCACCATCTGTGGGCAACGCTGCACAAAGTCGTAGCGCGATAGGTTAAGAAACCAAATTTTGCGGTCGATTTAAAGAGCCTGGCCCCTCCTTGAATCACCCTGTACTTCGCGGGGCTTTTTGTTAGGAAATTTTACTACTGTTGACTCAACCAGGTCTAAAAAACTTATGTTGAAGCTTCGTCCGCAAGAAAAGTGTCATTTCCAAAGGAAAATATATTTTAGAGCAACGTTAAATATGGACGTGTATAGGGATACAACACGTATACCTGGACTACTAGCTGAGCATGAAAAATATTGTGTAGATGCGAAGGTCGCGATGGCACATCGTACTCCTGGTCTTTTATGACGCACTCTCTAACAATACCAAGTCCCATTCTGCGGCGCAGTCTAAAGCGTCTGTGCTGGATTTGCTGTAGTCATGCCCACTCTGTTTGGGGTGTGGAAATAAATAAGCCTTTGTTCTATTCACTTTTTAAATATAAAGTATCTCTTGCCAAAGTGTGCTTACTGCTGCCACAACGAATGACTATGTCATATCAATGCAAACTTAGTGAGCACCGGGGCAGGATACTACTTCGCTTAGATTCAGTGTACTCCTGTTGTCTGCAAATACAGGCTAGTGAGCGTAGTTTCAGATTATTTCATCTATTTTCAGATCGTTTCCTCTACGTACATACGATTACGTCTGCTGACTGGGCAACTGATGTTGGCAAGCACCCGAGAGCCTTCCTTCTGGTTTATTAAACTGAAAAAAAAAAAAAAAGCGAAGGTGAAGTGTAAATAGTGCTGTAGTACTCCGCTTTAAAAAGTCAAAAGTTTAGTTGTTTAATGATTTCATCGATGATTTGACTATTCGCTAACTATTTTAATTCCGTGGAACTGTTTGAACCGTGTTTTGAGTTTACATTGTCAACTCCCTTATGGCGAATTCCACTGGGCGTTTTGGAGCGCGCCGGGATCAGTTGACCAGATCCGGACTGGAGCATACGATCCGAACGGGATCCCCAATGAATCATGACCACTGCTCCGGGATCGGCGGATGCCTTCCCGTCATTCAACTGCCCGGGAATCCCCTTTCCGCGGCCGCCGTGGTCGTTTAGAAGACGTTTTCGCAATCGCGGCGCTAACACGTGTTCGACGCACGAGCTGCAGGAATGGCTCAGGCGCTTCTAGCAAAGATTGCCGGAATGCCCGTAACGCGGCAAAAACCTTCTCTTCTCCTTCCTGGAAAACGAACCGGCTGTCGAGCCAAGGGGTAAGCAAGCGGCCATTACGAATTCTTCTGATGTCGAGACAATCTAGGAGCCCAGCCCGCGACGCGCTTCTTCTTCTGAGGCGAGATGGGCGAGATTAGGCGAGATGCCCCACGAGAAAGGAAGTCACAAGTGTGCGCCCGGGCTGTCCCGGCTGGCTTCCGGTTGAATCCGCCGAAATCGTGGGAGCGACTTTTCTCGGATCCAGATCGATATCTGGAGCGGGAGCTTGTCCAAAACGACTGTGAAACAGGTCGGTCTCGATCCCAATCGCCCAGTAAAGGCCTGTTCACACATACAGCGGAGCGCTAAGTTAGCGCTACGTGAGCGCTCCAAGGAGCGCTAATAGGGAGTTTTAGAATAGCGCACGCTAAAGCTTTGCGTGCGCAAAGAATAGCGTCGTCGCCACTGCGCATGCTCCGAACGCAAACCAGGTTTCGCGCTTTGCGTGCGCAATTTTAGCGTGCGCTATTTTTCGGAAATAGCGTGCGCACGCAAAGAGTCTTTGCGCTTCTCCAAGGAGGATTCGTGATGAGAAGACGAGCAGAGTGAAATAAAAATGGCGGCTTCCAGGATGATGTCGGCGGCTGCTTTGGCGGCGTCGTGAGTGCGACGTCGGCGGCATTCTCGCGACTGCAATTTTCAATACGGGACGACAATGTACTCGGTTTGGCAGCGATCACCGGCAACTTGATGCTTGCGACGCGCGAACATTTCACGGCGAAGGAACGATGTGCGAAGGTCAGTACACGAGACCTCTCTTGCCGAGGCGACGCAAGCGGACACGACCGGTCAACCGCTCGCGTCGCGTTCTCATGTTTAAACAAATTAAAATGCTACTCTGGACCAAAAAAAAACTCGTTTTCTTCTGAAGTTACATCACTTCGTGTGTGAAATAAAAATTTTTACTGTATCTTGGTGGCGTCGCAAGCGCGAGATGCTTGGGCTTTTGCGTCGCGGCGGAGAAACGCTATTCTAAAACTCTCTCGCGTCGCGTGCGCTAATACAAGCGCTAAATTTAGCGCTAGCGTGCGCTAAAATTGCGTACGTTATTCTAAAACTCCCTAATGTGGCGCTTCGTAGCGCGTGACTTAGTTCTAACATAGCGCGCGATTAGCGCTTCTGTAGCGCTTTGTAAGCGCTCCAGTAGCGCTTTGTTAGCGCTCCATTAGCTCCTTGTTAGCGCTTCAGTAGCGCTTCTTGTACCGCGGTGCTGTGGATTAGCGCGTGCACTGCGGTACCGGTTCCTGTGGTTGGGTGTGCGTCAGCAGCACCATGGCGGACATGTGGGATGCTGAATAGAAATGCGACAAATGCTCTTAGGTATACGTGATTAGTGCATATGTGTGTGGACGGCTTAACGCCCAGAAAAGCCTTCTGGGTGCGCTAAATCTTTCGCTACCGAGATACCGACGAGTAACTGATGAACCTTAATGTTCCCAGGCTGAGGGACCGAGACGCAGAGCTCTTTCGAAGGCGATTATTTTAACTGCATTTCTTTGAAACCAGGGTCATGCATATCGAATAGAAAGCGATGAGGTCATACCCAATCAAAAAATCGCTCAGAGTCCATGCCTCTGGGTCGCCTGCCCGACCCTTTGCTTGGAGAGCAGCTGTTTTACTTCCTCTTCTTTCAATGCCAAAAGAAAAACAACAAAGAATCGCGGTGCAGGCGCTGTTCCGCGGCAGCAAGCACGGCACAAGGAGCGTGAGAGCGCTAACAAAGCGCTTCTGTGGAGCTAACAGAGCGCTAACAAAGCGCTTCTGAAGCGCTAACAGAGCGCCACACCACGCGCTAGGAAGCACCACATGAGCGCTCCTTGGAGCGCACACGTAGCGCTAACTTAGCGCTCCGCTGTATATGTGAACCGGCCTTAAAATAGGCTCGCTCCAGAAAAG